TAGAGTCCTGATTTCGTTCAATATTGGTTTGATGAAAATGCGTGTCACAGTTTGTAGGGTGCACCAGGGGGAGAGAGGAGCCAGGAAGATCGAGTAGGAGGCGACAGCAGTGGTGTTCGGGTTTAGACAACAGGACGGGCAGAGCCCAACAGCCTACGTCCCATTCCTGAAGCCCAGCACCTACTTGGACCGTGATTAACACGTCCTCTTTCCCACAACTGCTTTCTCCATTTCAACCTGGTGAAAATCATACCTATTCTTCAAGGGCTCGTTCCGATGTTAGTTCCTCGAGAAAACTTCAAAACCTCTCCGAACTTTCATAGCACTTTTGACCTTGGATTGTCCTTAGGTCACGCATGCTAAGTCCCTAAAATAGGTCCCGGAGCACTGCGGGTGCACCAAAAATGGCTCGTCTCACTCACACGGCGTCCTTCCTTTCTAGACCGTCAAATCACCGAGGGCAAAGGCTTCATCTTATTCACTTCTGTAACCCTCCCTGTGCCCTGGTTCCCCACATGTCCATACAGGATAGGTGCTTGACTAGCCAAGGCTCGTTGAACAAAAGGAAGCCTCCTTGCTCACGATCAAGGGTTTTGGAGATTAACGTTCAGTTGAGTGTTAAGCGACATTTGTGGATTCAGGCTCAGCAGGGTCTCTCCAGGTCCGTCCAGGACCAAATCCATCTCATTCCAAGCATCTTCAAGGAAATGCCTACTGGTAAAGTCCTCATAGCCTGCCCTGCACAGCCATTCAAGTCCACTCAGAAGTGTCGTCCCAGCTTGTTGAGTCACCAGCTTCCTCCCTGCAGCATGACTATAAGGAAGGCGAAGCCCTGACAGTGCTGATCACGTGAAAGAAGTGACAGGGGCTGTTCTCGGGCAGGAAACCTGTTCTCCATATCAGGCAGCATACCTTTCTGAATGTACCCGGGAAGCCTGGAGACCCAGCCCTTCCTCAATAGCTGTGATTCATTTTACTCCTGGGAAGCCACAGAGAGTTTCTGGACTGATGGCCTCAATGTCAGTCAGCCCCTTGAGGGAGGGTGTGTCCATCAAAGCAGCCATTCCTGGTTGTTGATGACCTCGGGGCAGGTGCACCCTAAGGCTTTGGTGCAGAAGGAAAGCTGAGGCACCTGTCCTCAAGATGTTTACAGGCCACCACCACCATCCCCCAGACTGTAAACACTCGGAACACGGATAATGCACTTAGAAATAACGGATTTGAGGGCGCCTGGGTGGCTCGGTCGGTTGAGCGTCCGACTTCAGCTCAGGCCACGATCTCACTGCTCTTGAGGTCGAGCCCGTCCTGGGGCTCTGTGCTGACAGCTCAGAGCCTGGAGCCT